TCTTTTTGCCACATCTCACTGCTTCTGCCAGCAACTTGTCGAATTTGTTTTCCTTCCAGTCTTCAATTCGCCGTCCAATAAGTGTTCGAATGTCTTTTGATGCTTTGATCATTGGATTTCTTTGTAACAAAACACGACTCATCACCAGAACTCTTTCTGAAAGGGAATCAGCAGTGGTAGAATGAAGCTTCAGTTCATGGGTCAGGAGGTCCACGCACTTCCTACCAATGTTACCATTAGGCAAAGTATATAGCCTTTTTGGCAACCGTACACTTTCCACCCATCTTTCAGTCCAAATCGAATGATCAAGACTAGTTGATTTGTCAAGTGACGCACCGAATGCTTCCATAATTATGTCTTCGTCATGGCTTTCAAGATTCGGACCAGTTTCTGGTAGCACATCTTCTATTTGCCAAATCTTGCATAGCTTAAGTTAATCCTGTGCGGCGTTTGCTTGTCGGTGTAACATTAAAGCGGTCATTGTTATCTTGTGATATTTACAAGTCTTCCACTTCAAACCCGCTGGTATTGCAAACACTGAGCTGCGAATCAGAGTTATACCCCAGATAACTAAACTGTTTGATAATTCTCTGAGTCAAATCAAAGAACCACCGTGGTAGTGAAACCTCTTGTGTCATGAAGAAAAGAAAACCAAAAGCAGCAACTCCGAGATAATGAAATCTCTGGAGTCACACTTCGTAAAACAAACGATATTCTGCTCTGCAAGCCTTCCTCCAACAAAACTCGAACTCTTCCCGAGCACGGGCCACTCTGCCTCAGAAACGAGCTCCTCTCCAAACACGAGTTTCAATCACCGGCTCTGTACCAAACACACACGAGCTCCAAGCACCGACTTTGCATCCAACACGAGCACCAATCCACAAACAAGCTGTACTCCGAACACGTGCTCTGCTTCAAACTCACGATTTCAGCTTCAAACACGAGCACTGATCCAAATACGATCACTGCTTGAAATTAAATGTCCGCTCAGTTGTCGATGTTGCAGTGATTGTTTTTTTTCTCAGTTGCTCAGTTTCTCCTCGAAAAGTCGAGACTTCAAAAAATTGTCATATAGTTTTTTTTGCCATAATTATTGCCAAATCGCATATTTTTGCCATTTACTGGTCCTGGTGGTATAATTCGCTCTCAATTTGGCTAAGTTTTTATGTCAAGAACAAACTCGATAAATACTCATACGAACTGGATATTGCTAATTTCCACTTAAATAATCTCGGAATCGTGAATAGTTGTTGTCTACTTGTTTTATAGTCCTTGCTTACCTTTACCATCATCGCTAAATACCTGATCATCTTCGAACTGCTTGCTCTCTAATAAAACACCAATAATTTGTTTGCCAAAACGCAAAATAAAAACAATAAAATTTATGCTGGCTTATCTCTCGGTAAAATGTGGGGTTGTGGGGTGACTATTTCGATCAAGGCAACAAAAAATTTCAAATTAGCTCAGGCAGTGTTCGCGTTTTTTCTCTGGTCGGTTTTTTTTGTCGCGAGTCGGCTTATGCTAGAGGTTGGTTCATTGGTAGACAGAGATTTTGTGTAGACGGCATGAAATTGTTTGTTCAGCAAACGCATTGAGAAAGTTTGGCATTGAAAAGTTTTCGTCTTAAGAACTGGCAGAAAATTGCTTGCACAGAAAAAAACTGACCTAGAAGTTATCTCACTCCAGTTTTCTATATGAAGCTGTTTGGAACAGGCTGGTTCTAAAACTCCCAGTATTTTCTAGGATGCTCTTGAAAATAGGAACTTTAGGTTACATGACAAAAGATCCCGTACCCTAAGATCCCCAAACGAGAAGATACCAGCCGATAAGATACCAGTCCAAAATATACCTCGTTATACAAGGGCCCACGAAATAAGATACCATATAAAAACAAGGAAAAGGTAATCAAACAAATGAAAAAAGGCGGTTAATCAATCAAAGCGAAGACAAAAACTCGGTTGAAATCAAAGAAATGACATAGTTTTTGCTGCAAAAACTTTGAACTTTAGTTACTTTGCTAAGACCTGGACTTCAGTTTGAAACCAAACATTTAAACAGACTAGACCACTAATGATTATGACCAATTTTTTCAGACAAATTAAGGAGGTTCAAAAATAATAAAAAAAGATTTTCAAACATCATCAGTTATCATAATTGATCGATCTTTTTTTGCTAGACGCAATATCTGTCTGTTTCATTAGATGATTTAGTTGTCGAATTTGTTAGCGTCCTGCGTTGAGCTCGCGTCTATGCTCGTTGCAGTTTGTATTAATTTTGTCTCCACATGTAATTAAAGTTTTGGGGCACTTATAGGATCTTCGTTTACTTTAGAGCCAGTGTGTTGTTGTTTTTGTTTGTACAGAGCTTTTTTTGAGTTTTTTAGCTTATAAAAATCAAGTGTTTGTCCTTTTTGTGAGGTTTTTCAAACAAAAAAAATCTTTTTTGACAAATCAATGAGTTAAAAAATCAGATTATTAATGCATTTTGTATCCATTTTTAATTAAATTGTTCTGAAGTAAAAACAAATTAACAGCAATTTAAACACAAACAGGCAATATTTTATACCAAAAAAGTCCAGTTTGACGTTGTGTAGTTTTTATTTGCGTTGTTCATTAATATCGCAAGCCTAATTGAGAAATCATTAACCTTGATTGATTTTTTGATTTTACTAAAATCTTTATATGGTCATAGTTTTTTTGTACATACTTCGTAAAGTCCTAATAATTGCCTTGGCATCTTATAGTGTGGGCGATTTTAGTATAAGTAGTATGAGGGATCTTTTTGAACGGTTTTTTGTCATGGGGTTTGTGACACCGAACTTAACTCTTAAAAAATCTTTGAGCCACATTGTGTCTTTTGAGCAGTTTATTAGCGATCATTTGCTGAGAATTCCATTCTTCAAAACGAATCATCTAAAAAACTTAACGCCAAATTACTTACTATTTAATAACTGCGCTAGTAATTTCTTGTTAATTTGTAAAGATAACTTATACCTTATTGCCGCTACAGCAAGATCCGCCCATCGACATATGCTCACGGACAAGTTACACGAGCTGGTCACCAAACGCGCATTCGTTATATTTTTCTAGGTTGGAGGGCACTAGAAAAAAAAATCGCACTATTTCAAAAAATCAAAAAATCTTAAATCATCATTTCCGTAGAGTTGAATTGTTCAGACAAGTCAGCTCTTGTTGTGATGAGTTATTGTCCCATTTAAGAATTTTTTGGGCTTTACTCAGCAAAAGTTTCCACGTTAGTTTTTATTTTGTGCCTTTCGAGTAAAGTAAATAATTCTTGTATTTGAAGATATCCAGCTGAAAGTTATTTTGGCGTCCGTCGTATCCGTCGCAACTTTGTCGGATAACGTCAATTAGATTGTTTTGGCATGTTGCTTCCAAATCCTAAAGAAAAAAGGTCGTTCATTTTAAGAAGTGCTGTTTTGGAGGATTTTGCAAAAAATCTCTCGGGATCTTTAACAGAAAAATGGCATATTTTAAAACCTTTTGCAAGATTTTTGCAATTAATGCAAGATATTTCTCAATGCTTGATAGGCAAAAAAAATTGTCTACCTTTTTTTTCTGTAATTTTGTCTAATTTGTTTTTATTTGAAAAATTTAATTTTGAGATTTTCAAATTTCAAGAAAAAAACAAATGCCAATGAACAAAAAAACAATTCTGCGCGTATCCTGGCAAAAACCTGAGATAAAAAAAATAGATTTTATTGTGAAAACTTATCTCCCAGGCGCTATTTAAGTATTGAATGATAAATTTTGCAAACAGCAAACTAGTAAAAATACCGAATAGCAAGACTCATTTCAATTTTAAGAAGTTCTAATTTGGAGTAAAGGTTTGCTCCGGCCGTCATTGTGTAATTTGCTCAAATTGTCAATTTTCTAAAAACTTTAAAGTATCAAAACATAATCACAGTTGAGATGTTTTTTTTCATTTTGACCTCAAATAATTAAAAAAATTTTATATGATATGACAAATATAGCCAAAAATGCTTAATAAAAAAGTCGAAATTACTCTAGAGAAAAAACCGAGCGCAAAATTCCGTCACTTTTTTCAAAAACTGAATAATGACAACTTGGAGTCATGCATGCATGAAAAAAATGATTTTTTTTTCTATGTGAAGTAAGATTTGCCTGTTTTTCCTTTCCCCACCTCACATAAGCCTCAATTTTCTGGCCTAACTGGGGGTTTTTGAAGATTAGACATGAAGGTTAAATGTGTTTGCCACAGCCTTATCAGTCCGCATGCCTAACTTTGTATTAATCGGAAGACGAAAACAGGGAAATTACTAGAGAAAATTCGCTGGTGTGAGGAAAAAGGAAGGCTCTTTTTCCTTTTACCCCACCTGCAAATTTTGTGTAAGTTTTCTGTTCACTTTATCGGATTGTAATGAAACTTAGCATACGGACTAATAAGGCCATGATAAAAATATATGGTCTCCATACTCAACCTTGTTAAACACCACTCGTTACACCGAGAAATCATTGTTTATGTGATATTCGGGGAAAGGAAAAAGAGCCAAAAAGAAAAAAAAAGTACAGGATTTTTTCAACTTCGAAAACCAGCCTGTGGTGAACAGGTTTTATCTGATGATTTGTAAATTGTTTAATTTTTGGCACTCATTTAAATAAAAAAAATACGTTTGCTAAAGTTGTTATGACTTTTTCATAATGCCTGGTAAAAAAATTTGCCACCCTTAAAGATTCTTCGGCAAATTGTAAAATGAACTATCACGCATTAAGCATCTTGAAGCAAAAAAAACTTTGAAATTTTTTTTTATTATGGCTCAATATAGTTTTAAAAATACACTTATTCGAGTTCCGATGATACAATACTGTGTTAAGAATAAAATTACAACCGACTGTATACAAAATCAGATTAACATGCAAAGACCACGTTAATCATCAGATATTAGCTTAGTTTAGTCTCAATTCGATTTATCACACTCTCTACTTTTGTTGTAGTTTTCAAAAAATGAACGTGCAAAATTCCTTTTCAGAACAACAGATTGTACCTTCATTGATACTTTAGCATAACTTTCAAAAATAAAAACACATTGATAATTTGTTCAAATCTCAAGCAATCACCCAAATATACATATTTTTAGCTGTTGATATTAACTTTCTGATTTGGTTGAGAAAATAAAATAACTTTTTGTATCATTAATCTTAAATTCTAATTCTTTTCGCTTATGCTCACAAAAACAAATACTTGATCTATGAACCCCATTAATTTTGAAACCCCAAATTCTTGATTGTGAAAATTGTATTAAAATTTTTGCTTCTAAGAACTCGAGAAGCCAATTTTTATCTTCTTATCAATCCAGTTTTGTTCAATTAGTTCTCTTCTCATGTTTAACCATTTCCTTCGATAAAGGTGAGTACGGATGAAACATTTTCGAAAAAGATAATGTAGATTGCATAAACGTAAGTGTGCATATTTAGTTGCCAACAGGAAGCAACTTGAAGATAAAATTCAGCAAGCTCCAGAGCGCCATTACCCGAAAGCACTATAGGTCCAATTAAATCGTTCGTGCCGATTCTAGAGTAAGTATTCGGAAATTCACGAATGATAATATGATGATTAATTATGACGATTTTTGTGTTATACGACAATTGAGATGGTGCAGCGCTACAAAACTGCCCACTTAATGCGAAGTTTCAAGAGATTCGACCGTTTCTTTACAGTGTTTGAATCATTTTTGGTTTTAATTTTCGGCGCCTTTAGATAAATTTTAAGGTCAGTCAGCCAAAAATAGATATCAAATTAGTACAAAGAGACCCTTTAGGTCGGCAGGGGGTCAAATCCCTGAGTGGTTTGGGGGGAGGGGTTTAGTCCCCGCCCCTTCCCCCCTCCTAAATCCGCTGGTGCCCGCAACCCAAAACTCGCAAGAAATTCAAAACAGCGAACCGAACACAAGTAATATTTCCCAGTGTTTCCTCTGTTTCTTTTATCTTTTATTGCTTCATTTAAAAAGCTATGAGGAATATTGGAGCTCAAGTTATTTTTCTTTTTCAGCCAATTTTCGATCTTTAAACTAGCAAAATTTGATGGAATGTTTTGGCTATCCTCTCAAAAGTTTTCATCATGGGCCCAGCAAAAAAATATTTGAACTGTAATCATTTTCGCAAAGATTTTTGGGACTAACTTGCCAACTTTAGTTCAATTTGGGAGAAATAACGGATCGAGTTAACATTCTGTCTCAGCCGATTAAGCGTCTGCTGCAAACTAAATGGGATCTACTTAACAATTACCCTTTTCAATTTCCAGAAAAAGGGGGGATAATTGTGAATTAGATTAGGTTACTATTTTGAGTCCCTCTTTGTACTACTTTGGGATATCCATTTTTGACTGACTGACCCTAAAATTTTTCTAAGGCGCCTAGGCTCCAAATTATGCCAATTTTGAGCGGGGAGCTCGCGACAAAAAACACAAGTTTTTTAGTCAAAAATTTCCAAAAAACCTACGAACGCCTTTTTGACCTGTTTTTTCAATAAGGTTTTTCTGATGGTTTTGGAGAGCTCGGAGAATCAAATTCGTCGACCTAAAAAAAGGTCGACAAAACTTTTGACATTTTTTTTTGAAAATTCCGCTCGCCTCGAGAAAATTCTAGATCCGCCCCTGAAATGGGTGGCATTTCTTCATAGATGCCATAGGAGGGGTGGGCGATTGTTGAGCAGATCCACTAAATCATTCAAAAGATAGTTGGCAAAAAAGTTACTGTTTTATTACGTAACGCCTAATATACATACATATTTAAAGAATGCCTAATTTTAGGCGTTACGTAATAAAACAGTAATTTTTTAATAACCCGATTAAAAAAGAGAACTGAAACAATTCAAAGTGGTGCATTTTAAAGCGTGGAAATCTAGAAATACATGCTTTTTGATCGTTAGTTTTTTCAAGGAAAGCAAGTCTTACATTCAATGAAATTCTAGGAGCCTCGATAACGTTTTTTGACAAAAATTCAATCAGTTTAATACATACACTTTTTGAGAAGGCAAACAAATATAAGAGTTTCATAACCCTAGTTGAAATACCACTCAAAAATTGCTCAAGATTTTAGCGGCTCGACTTTTTTCTAGACGATTGCGCTTTATCCGCATAAAACCTTGCAAGAAACGATCAAATCGTTCAAAACCGTTCAAAAACCGCTCAAATCCGAGCAAGGTTTTTTTGAAGTTTTATCTCAGAAATTTTCTCCCGATGTAATCGTTTCAATGCACACAGAATCGAGCCTTTAAGAGTCTGAACTTCTAATATTCCTTAATATCGAAATATATAAGCCAAAAAACAACCTTAAATGTTCTAGGGTCCAAAAAGCAGTCGTAAGGGTGAGTTACGTGTCCGAGAAAGTCAAATCAAAAACCCTGCATCTGCTTTGGACAGAAACTCGATTGTCTTGCCACCCCCAGAACAAGGTTTGTTCATTAAAAAAAAAACTAAATTGCGTCTTGCTATCTCTGAATATCAGTTTTAACGAAATTTGAAGACAATCTTTAACAGCTGCGCGATAGAAGCAAAGCAAAATTCGGATTAAAAGGCTTGAAAGAAAAATCGATAAAAAATCTGAAAGTGTATTGTTGAATAAAGTGCAAAGTTTGGTGGGTAGTAGTATTGCTTTGCCGAGAGAAAGCTTGACCCTTACGAACACAAAAAGTTGTAAGAAGATTAAAAACATCACGAGGTCGAAATGTGCATTCTGTACATTGCAAGGGGGTTCCGCAACTGGTCAAAATCAGATTGTCGTTGATCTTCTTTGCTCTTTTGGATTCCACAAACAAATATCTAAAAAACTGTACCGCTCAAAATTGCAGTAAAAATAGACGAAATTGCGGAATCCAAAATCGTTTTTGTGGAAACCAGAACTTTTTGTGGAATCAACAAACAAATAAAAAGGTATGTGTATAAATAAATAAAGCTGTTGCTGAACCCGCAACTGTAAGCGGAATCCGCAAATTGTAACTGGATATCGCAAATTGTAGGTGGAAACCGCATTCCGTTTACGTATATGTATATATGTAGAAGCGTTTAAAGTTATATCTTTTAATTACTAGGTGGTCACTAGCAAGTTCAATCCTTATGACTAAAATACTATGTTCATCAGCTACCTGTTGAAATCCCTATTGTTCGATCTCAATTTCTGTCAAACATTCAGCTTCAGTATATGGGATTGATGGAATCCCAAATACTGACCAGTCTTTGGGATCGATGGCACCCCAATTGCTGACCTAACTCGGCGATACGCTGTATATTGTGTTTCTATACACTCTCAACCCACTGACTCCAAATAATGAAATCATTCCAAATTTGTTCCATATTATGCCAAAATTTGGGAATCCATCAATCCCAAATACTGAGCAGTATTTGTGATTGAAGAAATCTCAAAAAATGACATAAGTAAGAGATATAATTTGCTGTGTATTTTAAACACTCTCAACCCAATGACTCCAAATAATGAATTTATTCCAGATTTATTCCATAATATTCCAGTATTTGGGATTCCATCAATCCCAAATACTAACCAATATTTGGAATCTAAGGAATCCTAAATACTGACATACATTGGCTATATTGTATGCGTTGTCTTTTTAAACACTCTCAATCCAATGACTCTAAATAATGAGTTTATTCGGTGTTGTGTTTCCAAAACTGTGATCCCAAAAATTGTTTGCTGGGATATGTATCCCAAACACTAAAAGATCAGATCCACCAATTTAATTAACAAATGTTTTAAGTTTTGTTCGTGGATTCAACTGACAATGGTTACGTCCTTGCTTTTAAATTATTCATTGATAAGGTAAGAATTCCAGCTCTAGCTTTTAGTTATTCAAATGCAAGTTCAGTAAGAAACAATATTCGGAATACACTTACAGTTTGCGAATTCCCTTTTTCATTTGCGGACTTCTCTTACTTTTTGCGGAATCCATTTACAGTTGCGGAATCCAGAACAACTAGCTATATTCGCTTGTTGCGGAATCCGCGACACAACAAATGTGCCGACAAAATTTACATTACAGTTATTTATACGGAGAATCCACGGAAACTTTTTGAATAAATCCACTTACAAGATTAGTTTCTGGAACATACAGACACAAAATTGTGCGCTATCCATTGAAAAACTTGGTCTTGTAGTGAAAAACAATATTTTTCTTTTATATTTTTTCAAATACAAAACGCATACATGATGTTAAATTTTTTTTTCATACTAAAATTTTCATATACAACATTGATTGCATTTTTCTGGCCTGTACTTTTAATTTAATTGAAGTAGCAGCTCCGTCAAACTGCTGTCGCGCAATTTTACAAGAAATAGTTAGCAATTTTTAAAGTTGATTTTCTAATTTTAAAAGTAATTGTTCCGACGATTGAAAATGAGGAGGAACTTTGTATTCGGAGGTGTTTTATTTTTTTCTTTTATTTTTTGTTTTCCACAGACAATTAGGAACCACAAATAATCGTTGGACTGCGTTGAGGTATTTCTTTTTTTAAAGGCCTTTCATTCTTGATTCAAACCAAGTTAAATTTGATTTTTCGTTCAACTACAATAGCTTATTTTTGCTTAATTTAAGCCTGCAGTATTTAGTTTCACTCAATTGAAGATAGTTTTTAGAGTTTTTAGCGCCTTTTTAAGTATCAAAAAATCCAAAAATCTAAAGAAAAACTGAAAAATTTCGTTATTGAAAATTAAAATGTTTTTTGCCATTTTTTTTGGTTTTTCCGGTAACTTTTCAACAGAAACTGTTTCCTCAATTTGCCTGTTTTACTATGACTGTCAATTTTGCCTAATTTATAGTTATTTAATCAGATCCTTTTATCGCACTAGGCAGAACAAACGAAGCTTAACTGAAAAAAAACTGCTTTTTTTCGTATTTTTTTAAGACAATGGTCGGAAAGTTCCGTGCTGCGTGCACGCTAACCGGCATTCCTGGTTTTAATTTTTATTTGTTGATTCATACTTTTATATCTGTTTTCAATCTGTTTTTGAAAAATTAATCAGAGATCTAAAAGCATCAGTTTGTCATGAAACTTTCAAAACGTTTGTCGAAAGACGGCTTGAAACAGAAATTCGATTATTTCGTTCAGATCTTTTTATACCACGCCAAAAAAAAACGACACTAAATTGAAAAAATATCTTTTTTCGTACTTTTACGACTACAGTCGGAACAATTTGTGCTACTTGCACAGTTACCTTGTTTTAGTTTCCATTTGTTATTTTATGCTTTCATATCTATTTTCAATCTGTTTTTTGAAACACAGGCGTAATTTACACATTTTCAAAAACATCATTCTGCTATGAAGTTTCCGAGTGTTTTTCTCAAAAAACGGCTGTAAATGGCTTTCAATCAGCTTTTTTTGCTTCAATCAAATTCATGATCAAGCATACTGATGAAACTTTACAAACTTCGAACACGTTTATCACGACAAAACCAATAAATTAAAAACCTCAATTTCCAAAAAAATATCAATTCGTTCGATTCTGAGTTTTTCAATAATTTTTTTTAACGGAAATTTCTGTGATACCTGTGAAGACACCTGATTTTTTCCGTTTGTTAGTTTTTTTTTACTTTAATGACTTTTAGGCCTCGTTTAATTTACAGAAAAAATATTCTTTTATTTTAGATTAGCTGTTACAGGCAAATTTTGTTTACTTTCTAGGAGATTTCTACCAAATTAAAACTTTTGTTTTATGCGGAGATAATAAAGTATACCCAGGCTCTACAAACTTAATCAAAACTAATTTTTTTGAGAACTTGTTGGATCGAATAAGAAAGGAAAAAACTTCAGTTTTTCTTAAAAAACATCACAAAAATGAAATTTATTAAGTGTCAAAAATGAAGTTTATGAATAGAAAAAATATGGAAAAAATACCAGAGTTTGATGAATATAAAAAAAATACCAGAGAATAGTTTTTTCCTTGTCACTGAAACTTGGCTAGGAAAATCCGCCTAAACACAATGAAAAAATAATCTTTCAATCAATGTGGTTAGAAATAGGTCGAACATTTGATACAGAAGTATTTTTGAAAGTTTCATTTTGTCCAAAGAACTAACCTCAAAAACATCAGCAGCATTCCAAAAAACAGGTGTTTTTTTGTTTGTTTTTTGGTGATGATTATACAAAAGTTTTTCGAGACCTTATCAAGTTGAATAATTTGGGGCGAATATTGTAAACAAACTTATCAAGTTTTATACTTCTATCGGATTGGATACATCTTGCTCGCTCATTTTTTGTGGCTTTTTTGTCACATATACTTTTCCGTTACATCAATTGCTTTGAGCTTACAACTAGCAGTGATCAGTTTTTGCTCAATTACGAATCCAATCAAACAATCAGCCATGACAAAAAAAAACAAATTTTTTGTTTTTCAGAAATCGAAAACTTTTTTGAGGTCGAATTTTGCAAGTACTGACAGGTAAATCATGTACCAGAATCAGATACACAAGACATACTTTCCGTTTTCAATGTTTTGGAAAAAATAAATTAGACAAGCATTCACCTATTTAAAAAGAAGAGAATTGAATTAAAAAATATAAAAAAAATAAACAACCATGGTAAACAAAATACACTAAGCAGATGATCAATGAAAAACATTGGCTTTTCATCAGTTTTTCAACAATTTTCAGAAATGATTGAGCAGATGCAAATCAATTAGTTTATGGGAAAACAAAGAAACCTGGTAACTAGAATTTAAAAAACACTGAGAAAGATTATCACAAAACAGTTTTTCAAAAAAAAAGATATAAAACAAAAAACAGTCAAACTTTGTTTTAGTTCAGAGATAAAAAAGTGATAATCACACAAAAAAAAGTTTTTCACATGTTTAGACGAAAAAGTAACTTATCAAAGTTATTAGGCAAATTCATTAAATCGAGCTTTCGCAGAACTACGAATCAAGTTTTCGCGAAACACAAAAGAGAAATCTTTCAGTGGTCAGGGAAAACCTATCCCTGCTAAATTTAGTTCCAATTTGGGTAATTACCTGAAAACAACTTTCTCTCAATTGATACTTTACAAAGTAAAAAAGAAACTACTGGTCCTATGAATATACCATCATGGAGCTTTAGATTTCAAACTTTAAAATGGGTAAACCCCTACAGTTCATACAATTGAATGCTTCAATCCAAAAAAAAACTTTGGAATAACGAAAGTTTTCATTCTCTATGTTAACGATTGTCTTTTAGTTTTGAACGATTCAATTTGCAGATGATACAAGTCTGATTTTGAACCAAAAACTCTCAGAACTAATGCAAAATTACACTTAAAAATTGCTAGACGACCTTGATGCTTTTATGAAAAAAAAAGTCTCTCTTTGAATTTTAGTTAATTTTGAAACAGGTGTAGACTCAGTTGTTTTGAAAAAATTAGGAAATAAAAGTTTCTTTCTCAGGTAGATATCTAAGAAATTTTTTTTTTAAACATTTTAAGCAGTTTTTTAAACATTTACAAATTCTACGGTTGAACAGAATCATTAAGCTGCTTAATTGGGTATCAAAGTGTGTGTTTTTCGAAGGATGTTTGATAGAGCGTGCGATCAACCAGTAAAAAACAAAATACCTCATGCAAATTGCAGATAGCGAAAATGAGTTTTTTCATTTTTTTTGATTGCTTAGAAGACCAGCAGTTTTTTGTGTACAAAACACTTAAATTGCATAAAAACAAAAGGACACTACAGGCAAAACCCCAGAGTTGGTCAAACAGCAAAATGGCAAAGAGTCAGCGTCAAGATGCTGCATTACAAAATGCCTAAAAACCGGACCTGTCAGATCTTGCAAAAAATCAAAGGAAAAAAGATATACCTTCTATAGAAATAGGAACCAGTAACAATTGACATATCACTCGATTGATTTAGAATTTTTTTTCCAAATTCACAGAAAGTTATTTTAAAAAAAGTAAATAATTGGTGCTACGTGCAGTTCAATTTACATCGTTGGTTGAATGTTAAAGTAATCACTCCTATACATGCTTTTTTATCCAAGAGGTTAACTCATATTAACTTGTTCTGCCGGGAAAAAAATTATTATCGTGAATCGAATGATACGGGTGGAACTACACCGTCAACTGTATTAAAATCTTTGTTTTGGCCTCCAGAGACGTCTCGAAACAGTTATTTTGTCAAATGACGAACCTCCAGATGGGTTTTTAAGACAACTTGTGGCAACATCTTTTTGATGCATGTGGTCTAGATGGGAATTTTTTTCATGCGCAAAAACTCTCGACGTTGTGGTTTCAAATAAAGTGGTTTTGAAATATTTTCTGTTCACATATATTCTTTGAACGCTTTTTTTGCTCTGAAATAAAGTTTCAAAGAAAACCGCTCAAATCTTGCTTCAAATTAGGTGAAAAATCTCGATTCAGGTTGTACCTAAACTGTCAGTGAGAGATTTCTTTACCGCTTATACAACCAAACGTTTTAAACGGAAACAATTAACCAAAAAAGTAGGACATTAAAAAAACTGACAAGGTTATTGTTATCATGACTTCTTTGAAAACTTTTTTTTTCATATTTAGAAATGCCAAATAGTCCTAATTCAGTCGCATCCTCGATCCGATCTCATTCTGAGTTCGCCTCGCACGTTTACTGTGAGAAACACCCAACTTCCACAATTCGCTACTTTTGCCACATCTGCGAAGTGGAGCTATGCGAGGAATGTTGGAAGAACGAACACGATCAAGATGACTATCGCAAACACAATATAGGATTCATCAAGGTCAATCTAGAGCCTCAAAAAGAGATCCAAAAACGAATTGTTGAAAACAAGAAAGACTGTCAAAAAATGAGCCGCATTTTGGAGGACTGGAAGATGATCGTCCAACAGGCGCAGCTTGCAGAATTTGAACATAACGAAGTTTTGAAAGCTAGCGAAGCCAATCAGCTTGAGCAGATATCAGACGTTGTTCGCAATCTGATTCAAAATCACATCACGGATGTTCGTAAATTTAAAGAAACTATTTTGAACGAACTTGAAGAACTTGAAAGAAAGCAGAAAAGCATCTTAAGGGATGCCTTTGACAGCAATTATGATCGCTTATCGATTCATAGCTCCTCATCGACGCTTGATGGAGGAGGGAGCAGCAGAGCTGAAACGCCCGTCTCCGAGGAGCTATTGGGCGCTGTTGGAGGAGGTGGCAATGTAAATGTGACTCCAGTTCCACCGAATATGAATGTGGCTTCGACTTTGAAGAGAGGAAAAAAGAGAGAGTTGGTGCAAGTTACACAGAGTGAGATTGGAGATAAGAAGATTAGTCTTTATACAGCTGTGTACAATACCACCACGAAAGAAGTGATGTATCTTTATGACTTAGATTTAACAGTGTTAAGATTAAACGGACCAAATGGGAAGTTTGAACTGGGTAAGAAGATGAAGTGGAATAACTGTGTATGCGACATTACACTAGACAGCAATAACTCTCTCTATGGTGTGATTTGGGAAACAGAAACCAGTTTGATGAGAGTGGCAGTGCTGGACATAGAGAAGAACAAGGAACTGATCGAGGAGAGAGAACTACTCGACACTGAGGGACTACCCAATGGAGCACATGTACAATGGATATTGTGTGCTGTAGGCGAGACAGTGGCTGTGACAGTGCTGGATTGGAGAGAAAATAGATATATCAGTGTGACTTTGTATCGCAGCCACATCCGACAACAAACTGTACAACTCAATTACAGTTTAAGACTTATTAGCCAAACTGTGTTGGTGAACGAGAACACACTGTTACTCGTCTGTGATAATAGAACAGTAGTGGTCTCTCTGCCTTCACAACAAACTACAACAGCAACAACATCTGCGCATACTTCTAAAGTAACTTCAAACACATCTCAAAAACTGCAGCCCAAATCCATCAAGTACATTCGACTCTCTGGCACGGAAGATATTCGGTCAATAGTATGGATACCATCTGAAGAAGGTGTGCAGTCAGATGCTGCGGAAGGATACTTGTTTGCTTCAGATTATAAACCTTGCTCTCGTGTTTACAAAATAAATTTAGAGAAAGATGTGGCAGAGGTGGCTGAAGGAGAGGAGAAAACAATTACCCATATGGAAGAAATAGGTCAACTAGATAACACATTCATTCGGTGTTCCATTGATAGCTCAACACTATTTGCTACTACCTGTTGGACTGCTGGAGAGCCTATGCTTCTAAACTTAGAATATCAGACACCTTGAGTCTTCCCACTTGTTTGGGCTAAATTAGTTTGAACAGAACGATTAAATAACTACAAAAAGATAGATCCCATCCATTAGCTGCTCTTTTGACTGCTCTTAGTAATTTTTTTTTAAAATTCATATTGAGCAATTCTTACCGAATAAAGCTCGCACTTTAAATTGATTCATACTACATTTTCAGCACTAACAAAGTCATAATTATTTCAATCTAATTCAAACTGTTTTCATCTCCCTCTATGGAACGACTTTACTCTTTTTATTTTTATTAATCAATAACCCAAAAAAATGTAAAGAGCTGTACGTTATTATATTTCTTTCAGTAGTTGAATAAAAGATTTTGGAATATAATATTTTTCAACTTTTCAATAGAGTTTGATGGTTTCTCAAATTCAACATTACCAAAAATTTTTCCGAGATCGAAAGCGTACGTTGTGAACGAAAACAGTTAATAGTATTCGAACAAAATCCTGTGAACAACGTTTTTTGCGTTCAGACAAATATGTCGGCTAATTGAAGCAAAATGGTAATTTGGAAAATAGGATGTCAATGACCAAGCAGCAATTGCTTTTTCCGGTTCGCTTGGATGCGATAACATTCGGCACAAAACTGAACTGCTCGTGGATTATGTTCGGATCTTATCTGTAAATCTGAAAGAACTTAGCACCACGGGGTATTCAGCGACCCAAAATAAGAAATTTTAAATAAATGGCTCGTCATTAATGAACTTCGAATGAAATTACGGAACAACAAAAAGAAACTAACATCAGTTCCAAGCAAAATTTTTCAGCCGACGACATCTTGTAGCAATCGAAAAGGTCAAAGGAAAATGGAAAAAATTGATTTATAGAAACAAAAAGCCAAAGAAGCACCACCGAAAGTGAAAAAAAATCAGTTTTTATAACTTATTTTCTGTTAGAACAAGCCGAGCTGCTACGTTTGTCGTTATTGTTGACTCTCATTTTTTCTCAGGCATATTTTGGGTAAAATTCTTATTTGACCATTTTTCTTCTTTTCAAAACAATATTTATTATGATAATTGTTTTCTTAATCTGTGCCAGACCTCGACGAGTGTAGTCTGAGACTGAAAACTTCCTTAAACTTTTGTTCAGAGTTTGTATATACATTTTTAACCAACCAGTCCCCGAGGCGCTGGCTAACGAATTCTGCTAACGGCTGTTTTGCTTTCCATAATTTAACGATTCCTCGAAAAAATCAAAGGATTGCTGTTATTGTATTAGTCCAACAAAAGTTTTTTAAATCAAAATATTGCGTTTACAGGCTTCTTTTCTGATGAATTTTATTCTCAGGGTCATGCTTGGCTTGAAATGATTGCGCGCTTTTGTTTTTTTTCTTGAGAACCTCAAAAAAATAGGTTAAAGAAAGACCGATAAACCTATGTTGTGACACATGTCATTCTTACGTTATAAGACACCAATTTTTAAATTATTGCACTTTTAAAGCCTTTCGCGCCCACTTTTGGAGATTACACCCTTCTCAATTTTGTTGGGCAACATAAGAGGCCTGCAGTGATATAGTTTTAGTAATTTTTGATTGACAAAAAAAAACTTTTGATATTTCAGCCCAAATTTCCAAATTTTGCAGTTTTGTACTGTTTAATGTAAAAATACATAGCAAAATAAGGATCACACTGATTCGTTTTACTGATACAACTTCGATCATTTTAAATTTTTAGCTGAATTCTAACAAGGCCGATTTCTGAGCAGATGTTTACCATTTCTTTCTTTAGCTACTTTCTGCATTTTTTTCTGGTCTGGGTAAATCTTCTCTGCAGGTTATTTTATCAAACTTGAATAGTTTCAAGAAAAAAAACTAATATTTTTGGCTAATTCAGCTTAATTGTAGGGCGACGTAAATTGGATACCAAACATTTTGAAATGTCGTCGAAAATTGATTGTCGTATTTTAGCCAATCCGATTTTGGCCTGTTGCGGAATCCGCTAACAATGCACAGAAGCCACAGTTTGGCCTCGTAATGAAAAACTGGTCTCGAGATTCAGTTCAAACTAAACAACAATCACCGCCCTGAAAAAAAAACGGTTTATGTATTTTATGTATTAAAAAAACGGTTTAGTCAATTTTTGTATCTGAAAGTTTTTCAGCCATTTGAACGTGTTCTCATTTATTTCAAATTATTTGAAATTGATCTCTTTTCAAAACTGGAAAAAAACCTTTTATTGATTCTAAATGTTTTTATACTGATTCTCTTCCAAAAAGGAACAACCCATGTGTATCTATATTCAAAACTATTAAAAAAAAAACAGAAAAAAAACGTTTTAGAACAATTGCAAATAAAACCAAAATCTTCTAATTTGTCTCTATAAAGTTTTTGTATGCGAAATGTGTGCAGCTTACTTGTTGAAATTTCTGGATCAAAAACAAATTTTATTTTATTGAAATTGCTTGAGGCTCTGAAAATGATCGTCTTACCCGGGTCGAGGTCCCAGACTCATGTCCAGATTTTCGCGACAAAAATGTGGCATTTCCAGACTTTCCAGACCAAAATTAGGCATGTCCACCGTCCAGAAGGTGGCGCGACCAAAACATCGCGACTCATATTTGGTATGTCCAGACTCTCGCGACCAAGAGTTGCCATTTCCAGACTTTCGCGACCAAAAAGTTAAGGCGCGACTTTCGCGACCGAGGCGGATATGGCGCAACCCTGCGGCTCAGGAAATGGCGTGACCGGCGCGACCAAACCTAGCTATTTCCAGAAATTTTGGTAGGTCCAGACTTTCGCGACCCATGTACAGACTTTCGCGACCAATTTTTGACAGGTCCAGACTTTCGCGGCCCACGGCGCGACTCATGTCCAGACTTTCCAGACTCAAACTCTCGGCGCGACTATGCAATTCGGGTCTAAATCCGGATGTGGCGCGATCCCTAAAGTCTGGACATGAGTCTGGGACCTCGACCCGGGTACAACGCCGTTTTTTGTCAAGTTTAATTTAACCTATGTTTAGGTTTTTTTTTCGAATAGATTGAGGCTTTTCAAGCAACCTCGACATGTGTGGTGTTTTCTATTGCGCTTTTCCCCTGCTTTTCCCCAACGTTAGCATTAATCTTACGGGCTCTTTATTTATCTGCCATGAATCTGAACGCACCATTTTTATATCTATTACTTAGCCTTGTATACCCCTGGTTATACAGAAAAAATGATGCTTATGTTAGATGGTGGAAAAGGAAAGAGCCATCTTGTGTTGTAACGATGGCTTTGCAACGTTACAAATTCCGAAGGCCAAGTTTGGTTGTCAAAACGTATGGCTCTTTTCCAGTCACCCTCTTTCAAATTCAATTCATAAAAGCTTCTTTAACGTTGTCATAGTGCAATGAAATTTGGCATGGTGAACAAATCGACAACTGTGAACCAATTTGTCTTTGGTACTTTAAATCGTAATATTACGCACTTAGCCGTAACACGTGAAAAAAACCTATAACTTGATATTTTGAATGGTGGGGGAGGGGAAAAGAGCCAGATATTTTATAAAGTGGGAGAGGGAAAAGAGCAAAACTTATAAGTCGCATACCAACTTTCAATCAAACCATGTAAATCAGACAAAGTGAACAAAACTATACTTGTGAGAGTTGAAGCCCCTGCTACGTGTTATAAAAGTAATCAATGTTGCTATCAAAAAGTTTTAATGGTACAAACCTTTAAATTGAAAACATGAAAGCTAATATAGCATAAAATCAGTACAGTCGCTTAGCAATACCAGCTATGTAGCCCAGCGTATTTATAGTGCATTCCAGGGAGTTTGGCGTGGGTTCTATTCTCATCTAAGTCGTTTCATTTGAGAATCCTATTTTAAAAGTAATCAACATCGAACCTGATCGAACATCAATGGTAATATTTTAATCGGTTCAAAATTGGTTTGCAATTGAGTTTCTTTTTATTCAATCGCGTGAATTGAGTATGAATTTATTCTGAAGAAACACAAAAATCACCAAATCAGAGCATTAACAGGCACACTTTTTTGCTTGATACGTTTAATATTTATGCTAATTCCGAGCAAAATAGTTTACAAAAACTTGCTGCTTATCGATTGTCTTGAATTAAGCCGATTCTGTTTCCTGTTTTTATTCGAATGAAAAGAAAGGCCAGAATGTTTTGGTGACGCGACTCGGGAATTTCGTGCGACCTTAAAATGAATCAAGAAACGAAACCTGCACAATATTGAGCAAACCTAAACTCTAAATCAAGGAGCCCTTCACAATTTCGCGTGACCCCGAGTCAAAAAATGGAAAAAACAACCCTAGTCAAAACAAAGCCGATAAGAATGAAAGTGGTTTTTTGAGTATTTTTTTATGAGCTTTTGGTCTAAGCCCTTTAATCTTACTGCGAAAACTTCTTAGACCAAACCTGTGTTTTCACCTAATTTTAAGAATCTAATTTGCGCTATTTTTTTAACCCAAAAAGTGCCGCTTTTTTGATGATCACTGCTATAAAATCATATACGTTGTTAGTTATTGCAATTAGATACCCTAATACTCGTAAAAAACCAGTACCCCAGTACACAAGGAGAGCCTCAAACCCAGAAATTTTGTGACGAAAAAATTTCTAGAAAGTTTTCCAAAAAAAATTAGAAAAAAAATTTTCAAAGCAAAATGTCCTCGAAAAAAGTTCACTGAAAAAAAATTTTTTTTGGCACCAATTTAGGCAAAGCCGGAAAACACCGTTTCGGTCTCGACCGTTCAACCGTTAAAACTGTCAATCGTGTGGAGCAAGTTTTTGGAGGGAAACCCCAACTATCACAGTTTCCTCCAATGGTTGGATAATCTGTAAAATTTTGCTCGGCTCGCCCCGTTTTTGGCCGTGTACCGCCACGACAGTCACTACTAGAGTTTCTCAGTAAAATCGTTAAGTTTAACCGATATACTGTACGCGCTAACCTAGATAGTACCGAACCGAAGCTTTAGTAAAACCTTGGAAACCCTCAGCTTAAAGTTTTTGAAAATATGTTCGTCAATTTTTTACCTAAAAGTGACGATTTTACAGAAAAAGACTCCTTAAGATGACTGCCCTTATTGCTCGCCACTGTCAATGGTATTCATCTTTGCTGCGAGTTCTCTCCATCACTCCATGAATACATTACCATTAACTCTGCAAAAACGCCTCAGCGACACTTTTAAAGCAGTTCAAGGTTTAAGTTTTAGTTTGATCGCAAATAACCGACAGAAGACTGTTAAATATCTTTTAAGTAATTCCCTGAAATGTATGATACAGAAAGTTTGTATAACTTGGCACGATGTTATAAACAATTCATTGAGCAAACATAGATCAAACAACGATAAC